GAGACTGCCGAGAGCCGAGGGTAGAGCAAGAGCAAGAGGTTGGAGAAGAGTGCAAGGCTAAATCAGGCAGGCCTGGAGCCACAGCAAACTGGGATTTCTGTCTCTGAATTCCAAGAACAACCAATGAAGGGTTTGGGACAGAAGAGTGCAATGACCTGATTCACACTCTTACAGGTTTCCCAGGAACTGGGTGAAGATGGACTGTAGAGAGACAAGAGACCAGTGAGGATGCTGGTAAAGACGTGCAGTAGAGATCTGGTGCTTGACTCTCAGGGCATTAGTGGTGATGAGAGACACGAACATGATCAGAGCATGCTGGGAAGGAAGGACTGAATGGACCTGCAGAGGGACTGAATTTCAGGGTGAAGGATAGGGAGGAACAAAGGGTATCGCTAGTTTCAAGTCTGAACAACTAGGTGAGCAGTGATACCACTTGCCCAATGCCTAGACCTTAGGAGGCATTCAATAAAATTTCACTAAATTAATGATTGTTAATTCACTTTGATATAATGAATGCTACCAGTCACAGCCTCCCAGAAAAGAAACAACACATTGAAATTGCATAATTTCACTTACCTTACGGACACATCAAGTTCTTCTTTTTCCATTTTTCTTTCTCCTTCCTCTCTACTTGTCAGCTCCATCTCAGTATCCTCCACTGTCTTTTTCTCACCATTTTGGAAGTACTGTTGAAGGGCAGTGTATAGTTTAAACACTTGACTGAAAGAAAGTTTACTGTAGGCCAAGATCATGTGACGCAGAAATAAACCTAGAAAATAAGACCACAGACAAGATGAAAGTATTAACTGAAATCCAGCTACAGGATACCAATGACTATGTGGCACAATCCTTCCTTCACAAGAACCAAAGAGACACTTGCAGGTGCTGTTTCCTCCTCCTGGAATGTTCTTCCCTCATTCTTACAAAGCTCACCTTTCCTTATTTGGGGCTCAGTCCTCCCATCCCAGTTACTCCATTTTCATCCCTCACAGTCTCTATTTTAGTTTCTTTATAGTTGTTTTAACTATCTGAATCATCTTATTTATTTCTTTACTTTTTACCATGTGGTTTCCCCCACCAAAACATCATCTCCATTAAAGAAAAATCAATGTCTACCTTGTATATCCAGAGCCTGGCACAAAGGAGGAGATCAATAAATACCTGATGTTGAGTAATATAAAAATTACCATGCAAAAAAACCCAGAGAGATGGAGCATGGATACAAAGCTAAGAGAAAAGCTTAGAAAAAAAAAATATATATATATATATATATATCTGCATTTTATATACTGTTAACAATAATATATTTTTACTTACCTCTCTTCGTAAGTTTGGTTGGTGACCCCCACTTACAGTTGCACAATGCAGGCAAGTGATCCAGAGAACTGTAAGAAAGAGCTGGCAAACCCTAAAAACCCCAGAACCAGGCTCGGACTCTGACTATTACAGAAAAAACAGAAGGTACTTTTCCATAATTATTCTTAAATATCAATTCTTCAACAGCAAGGCAATAAATACAAACCATAACATGTCTAATATCCCTACTGTTTGTTCACAGATCAAGCAAAGTAAAGGTGTCACTTAGAAAGTTGCTCATTTCAATGAAAATACTCTCTGCTCTTCTTGGAAGAGTTTCATACCTACTACACTTGTTTTGTGAACCTCTGGTTCAGTTCCAGAAAAAGAATCTGAAAGGTCATCAAAAAATTGTTCCATATCCTTCAATTCGCCTTCAGCCATCAGTTTGATTCTGAATGAGAAAAGTGAGGTGTATATTTTAGGAAGGCCCATGCTCCATATTTCTGAAGTATTTCTTCCCACTTTCCATATTCCTGAGTTATCTATTTTAAAGGTGATTCAGAGATTTGTATAAAACAGTAACATGTAAAACAAACTTCATAATCTGAAATGTCACTCCCATATTTCTGAAAAGTAACACTGCTGCTTTCTTTTTTTCTCTTTATATATATATTTTTAGTACCAGGGATTGAACCCAGGGGTACTCAATCCTGGGCCATATCCCCAGCCGCCTTTTTAAAAATATTTTTTGAAGGGCAAAAAATAAATGGAAATTTGAAGGGCAAAATAAATAAATAAATAAATAAATAAATAAATAAATAAATAAAAATATTTTTATTTAAAGACAGGGTCTTGTTAAGTTGCTGAGGCTGGCTTTGAACTCTCAATCCTCTGGCCTTAGCCTCCCAAGATGCTGGGATTACAGGCATGTACCACCATGCCCAGCATCATTGCTGTTTTCTTGATCATAAAATTTATTCAAGTATCAGCCCATAAAAATAAAATTATCTGCAACAATTAAAAAAAATGAGGTAGATCCATACAAAATAAAAACTTCAAGGGAAAAAAAAGCTGCAAAAAAGTATGTTTAATGTATCCATTTTCTTTTAAATTCATTAAAGGTACTTAGGAAAACAACCCTTAGAATAAAGATAACTTTATTTTTTGGTGGTACTAGGAATTGAACACGCGATCTTGCATAGGTTTGGCCAATGCTCTACTTTTGAGCCACAACCCAGCCTATTTTAAGTTTTATTTTTAGGGGGGAAAAATGTTTTATTTGCAAAAGAGTCTAAGTTGCCCAGCTGATCTCAAACTTTCCATCCTGCTGCCTTAGACTCCCATATTTTACTTAAAAAATTAATTACCACATGCCCTTTTGTAATTTTTATCTACCTTGAAATCTTTTCTGTATATACAGAAGAAAATAAAATTTACCTGATCTGTACTGAATTTGCCAGCTGAGGACAAGAGTCTTCAATTAACTTGTATAGTTTTGACAGTGTAATGTCTGGGCCCTGAGGAAGGGAGAAATAGGAAAATTACAGATAAATGTTAAAGACCTGTAGACTGACAAAGAACTACAAACATAAATTCATTTATCGACCTCTCTGCTTTAACAATCATTTCAAACATGAAATATCGAATCAGATTTTTCTTATCTACCTAAAACATTAAACTAATACTTCAAAATTGCATATTGTCTTTTAGTCAGTAGAATAGTCTAAAATGAAGTTTATTAATTTACTGTATGAGGATGTATAATTCCTTCCTTCAAGCTCTGTAATCACCGCAAAATTGTAACTTCTGAGTCCCAGTTTCCTTCATTAGTTAACAGATGTAATAACAATTATCTTCCTTATTTGCAGCAAAGATCAGGTAAGATAATGTAAAGTGCTTTGTAAACTGGAAAACACTATTAAAATGCAGTTACCATTTTATTACCAGATTATGTCACAAACATAATCTCATTTGATTCTTTCCCAGTCTTGTAAGGCAGGCAAACACAGTATTTGCTAAGACCATTAAAAGTACCATGATGGGGCTGGGGTTGTGACTCAGAGGTAGAGAGCTTGCCTAGCATGCATGAGGCACTAGGTTTGATCCTCAGTACCACAAACAAATAAAATAAAGGTATTGTGTCCACCTATAACTAAAAAGTAAATATTAAAAAAAAAAAAGTACCATGAGGGACTAAGAGCATCAAACTTCTGCTATGAAGATTATAATGGGGGGGCTGGGATTGTGGCTCAGCGGTAGAGCACTCACCTAGCATGAGAAGGGCCCTGGGTTCGATCCTCAGCACCACATAAAAATAAATGAATGGGATAAAGGTATTTTGTGTCCAATTACAACTAAAAAATAATAATAATAATAAAAAAGATTATAATTGGGGCTGGGGTTGTGGCTCAGTGGTAGCACGCTTGCTTAGCATGTGTGAGGCACTGGGTTCAATTCTCAGCTTCACATAAATAAATAAAATATTGTCCATCTATAACTAAAAAAAAAAAGATTATAATCTAGGGGCTGGGGTTGTGGCTTAGAGGTAAAGGGCTTGCCTAGCATGCATGAGGCACTCAGTTCAATCCTCAGCACCACATAAAATAAAGATACTATGTCCACCAATAACTAAAAAATAAACATTTTTTAAAAAGGTTGTATCTAGCTGTATTTTAAAAGAAAACATTGAGTCTTTTTTGAGCAAAAACACAGTGTATACACCAAGTTTAGATGTGGATAATCCAGCAAATCTACTTCAGGGGAAGTTATATTTGGCACACATTGTTTGAAATGAAGAAAAACTGAAAAGAACCTGTAAGTAAAAAAAAAAAAAGACTTAATTCATTATAACAAAGTTAAACTATGTTGCTTATTTTACTATGAAATATACTGCAATCATTAAAAAAAATATTCAAATGTGCTGACATGAAAATATCTCCAAGACTTGTTAAGTGAAAGGAGCAAGCTGTGGAATAGAAGTAGCATTTATACAAAAAAAAAAGCAAAATGAAATTAAAAGCACACACATATATATTTATATATACCTATAATCATATGCATCTAGACATCTAGAAAGATCCATTCCAAAGTGTTACTCAACAGATGAATTAATGTTTATAATGATAATCTTTGGAAAGGAAAAGAATTGGAAGGCATGCAGAATTATCATCTTTCCATTGATTTTTGTATTAAATAAAGTTTTTACAAGACACCTTTGTGCATTACTTGAGTGGTTACAATTTAAAATTTGGAGGCTCAGTTGGTAGAGTGTTTGCCTTGCATACACAAAGCCCTGGGTTCAATTCCCAGCACAACGGGGAAAAAAGTCAAACAGTAATAAAGGAGCTGTTACTAGAAGAATTATGTATAAACTTTGATTAAAACTACATGGTAGTTAGCCAAGCAAGGAATCAGAAAGAATTCCGGGGGAGGGGGGGGGCACATATGCTAAGGCAGGAAGATGGGATTAAGATACCAGGATTATTGCTACTTTTCTGTTCCTACTAATTTTAGTATTTTCACTTTTATTTAAAGAACAGGGAGAAATGCACTTATAGTAATAGTAATGTGGATAAGACTACAGCCAACAAGTTATAGAGATGCTGTCCCTTTTATTTAACTATGTTGTCCCTTTTATTTAACTAAGCAAAACACTTAAGCACTATGTCCTAGGTTGCCACCTTTCCCAGTTCCCCTCCCCCACAAATTCAGGTGAAGGGATATTTTGTGTTTGTGGTACTGAAGATTAAATTCAGAGATGCTTTATCACTGAGCTATCCCCAACCCTTCTTTTATTATTATTATTTTTTTTTTTTTGAGACAGGGTCTCACTAAACTGGCCTCAAACTCGTGATCCTCCTGCCTTAATAGCTATGATTACAGACCAGCAACACCATGCCCAGTTGTGATGGATTTTCGAACCCCTTATAAAGTATACTGTGTGGCAAAAATGCACAAAATGTATAATTTTGTTAAGTTTATCACTTATGATCTCATCATTTAGAGGCTCAGGCGCAGATCTGTTTCTGTCACCACTATTCCTCATCAAACAATTGCACATACTTCAAGGTCCACCAGCTTAACATTCCATCTTCTCTAAAAAAGGGCAAATCAAACCGGGTGCAGTGGTGCATACCTGTAATCCCAGCAGCTTTGAAGGCTAAGGCAGGATTGTTAGTTCAAAGTCAGCCTCAGCAACTTAGTAAGGCACTTAGCAACTCAGGGAGACCCTGTCTCTAAATAAAATTAAAAAGGGCTGGGGTTGTGGCTCAGTGATTAAGTACCCCTGGGTTCAATCCTCAGTACCAAAAGCAAAAAAAAAAAAAAAAAGGTAAATCAGGCTGGGTGTGGTGGTGCACACCTGTAATCCCAGGACTCAGGAGTCTATGTAAAGAGGATAGCAAGTTTGAGGCCAGCCTCAGCAACAAGGCCTGCAGCAATTTAGTGTGATCCTTTCTCAAAATAAAATTTTAAAAAGGGTTCAGGATATGGATCAGTGGTTAAGCATCTCTTGGTTCAATCCCTGGTACAAAAAAAAAAGGAGGGGGGAATCACATTTCACTCCTTCCAGGAATAACTTCTCAGGCACTTTACAAGGCTTTGGGGAATGCAAGGGTGAATAAAACAGGGCAAGTATTGTGTTCCGGATACAATCTAGTGAGGAAACAGACATCAATCACATAAACACACAAATACATGGAAAAACTACAATTGAGAGGCTGGGGATATAGCTCAGTTGGTAGAGTGCTTGCCTCGCATGCACCACAAAAAATAAATAAATAAATAAAAATAACACAACTGATATAAAACTGAAAGCGTTAAGGAACTTGCTCAAGTGACAGCTAGTTAAGTTGTGGAGCTCCGTGGCGTGAATCTGGAAAATGAAATAGGGTATGTGAAGTGCTGAACACACAATAAATGTTCAGTCTTTGCTCGTTACTAGGTTTTATGTCGTTATTACTACTTATTATGGTCCCCTAAAGTAACTAAGCCTGTATGATTCATCTCCGTCTCTGCAAAGCTCAGGACTGTGGAGCTCCACTTTACAAAAGATCTAAGATGATACCTCTCCCCACGTCACTCAGATAATACTGGTGCCAGATGAGAACCTGCAAAATAATGCATGTAAGGCGCCTAGCCCCTACTAAACGCTCATCAAGTGTTAGTTGGCGGGATTTACTACCTTTATTTTTTCACGTTCCTCTAAAGCAGAAAGAGTTATTTGATGAACCCCCGTGTCCCCAGAACAAGGCCAGTGTCCTGCACAGTGCAAATGTACACTAAGTTTGCTAAATGAGCAGGAGCTAGTGGGCGCCCCTCACCTGCAGCAGCGGCAGGAGTAGCTGGTTGAGCTTCCGCCGCTCCAGGAGGCTGACCGCGCCCTCGCCCTTGCGGCCCATCTCGTTCAGCAACACCAGTACCGCGATCTTATATGGCGTCACCCAGTCCTTGATGCCGAACACGTTGGCGTGCACCACTCCATTGGTCATCATTGGATTGAAATAGAGGCTCTCGTGGACGCTGGCCATGGCGGCCCTCCGAGACTAAGTCTCGGAGACCCGCCACGCGCAGCGCCCAGCCGACGCCTCACGGCATACCTCAAGCAGGCCTGCACTTCCGCCCGCCAGCCAGTATTTCAGGAAACTGGCATCCAAGCCCTCGGCGGCATGTGGTCGGCCAATCACAGAGCACAGGAGAAGGCTGTCACCAATCAGGATATCCAGTGGTACAGTGAGGGTGGGGCAAATATGGTGCATTAGGTGACTGATTCCCTACGGAAACAGTTGCCAAAGGAGAGCAAATTCCGGGTCAACGTGGGCAGAAAACAAGAATTGTAAAGAAGAGTTGGGGCTTGTTGTCCCAGACTGAAAGGATTGAGAGGCTGCCCATTTGTTCATTCAATTTGAAAGCAGTT